TTACTAATTTATTTTCTTTTGATTGCTTATTTAAATAAATTTTGTCACCAACGTATTTTCAATATCTGTAAAAAAATATTAATTCATCTATGTCAAAATATGTATGATTGATTTGATAAGAGTAATTTGATTGCTAGATTGAACTTCTAGAAGTAGAATTTACTTGAAGCTAAGTGTGTATGAAGCAAAATTAAATGTAGTGGATAAAATATACCAGATATAATACATCTTAATATAAAATTAGTTCGCTAATCAAAGATAAACACATCACAGAGAGAATATGGAGCCTAATTCAAATTCGGCTTAACAGAATAGAAGTGGATACAAATAAGATTGTAATAATACATTATAAAATCATTTAATATAACTTACAGATAATATGTAAATATTCTTATGAGAAAGCAGTTAGCTTAAATAAATGGTAACATAGCAATTAAATAAATTGTTATTTAATCATTTTTTTCAAGAAATTTCAAACAGACGACCATTTGCTGTCAAAATGACCACTATAGAGATTTGAGAGTATATATTTGGATTTGAGAGTATATATTTGGATTCAGCATGATGTTTCTCTTCCATTGCTTATCTTAATTTTATAAGAGCTCGAGCCTGACTAGATTGACAATATAAAAAAATTTTTCACGAAGGAAACCCCCCTCCTCCTCGCTGTAGCTCTTCTAGCCCTCGTAATTGTTTACGCAATTGTCAGTGGTTTCAATTCCGATCACTTCGAGATATGAGCTCACAAATGGCTGAGAACTTCTATGACCATCCATGAAAGGGTAATTTCTTGTAAAAAATTCCAATTTGTATTTTATAGCTGGAAAACTTAATCAAATTCAATCAACAACTTTTGTTATTAAAAACTACATAGGAAAAAATGCATTCAGTACTCGGAAATAAAATAAATCCATGAACTCTGTACTATATTTTTGGCTAGCTAAGGAACTTAAGACCAAATATCCCTTGAACCGTTTAACATATCTAGGAAAAGATAACGACAGAAGTAGCTTGGTGAGCATACAGTTACTTCGATTTGTAGAAAAGAAATAACTCGATAGAAATCTTTTTACTTCCTAAGAACTTGTTTACTCTTTATGAGCCAAAAAATTTCAAATGGGCATGATGAAGAAAACTATGAATGTAAACTAAAAACAATTTCTACATCGTGAATATCATACGTAACCATATATGGCAGTACTTTTACTTTCGTTACTTGTACCGCCGGTACAAGTAAAAAGTACGTACTTTTACTTGTACTTCGTTACTTTTTAAATTTAGTACTTATACTTGTACTTTCGTTACATTTTTAGGGAAAAAGTACAAGTATTTGTAACGGAAATATCGAATGAAATCGTTACTTTTTTCTAAAACTCAGTAAGCTTTCTAAAAAAAAAAGAAATTAAATTTAAAAATAAATGCTTAAGTTTTTTTAATTTATAAAATTAATCTGCAATATATATGCATTCACAGCTTACTTCGTCTTTAAATACTTTCTGTTTCAACTTATACTGCACATTCATTTATTTTTTACTAGCTCAAAGATCACAAAGCTATCTGAAACCCCGTGTTTGCTTTGATTATGTTTGTGCTTTTAAAACGCGTTTCTAAGGAGTAAAATAATTTTAAATCAATGGTAATTTAAATAAATAAAAATAATAAACTAAAAATNCAAAGTGACCAGAATCATTAATCTAGGTAGGTAAAAATGTCGGTTGTTCTGATGTTAATGCATTTAATATGTAAGTGTCATTTTTTCTTTGGATTATACTTCATCGTATTATCCATACTTATACCTCTAGCACAAAAACTTATTGACCTGACACAGTTTTCCATTGTTTTCGGTATTTTTCTGTCGATTGGAGAATCACATGTTAGAATCCAGTTTTTTCTACATTGATTTTAATATTTTTTTGGTTGACATCTGCATAAAGTTAATAAAAGTCATAATGATATTGTTTTACAATAAATACTTCTACATCTCTAATTTAAAGCTATTTACCTGTAGTGCTATTATTACAATTTTGATTTTGATTGCTTTCTTTATTAAGAGATCTAAGATCATTGCATTTTTTACTTTAACGTAGTTCTACATTAACTTTTAAAATAAAGTTATTTAAATTGGTATCTAATGTTGTTGACCATTTTACAATTATTATTTCTCGGTGCAAATCACATATTGTTATGATTGTAATATATTGATATTGTACACATATTGCAATATATTGTTATGAATTAGATTAAAGAAATTCATTAAATGATTTAGTGAAAAATGATGAATGCGATAATTGTATTTAATATATCCGTCCGTTTGATAAGCGAAAATAATAATTTAAGATTGTGAACTTATAAAAAGTTTTATAACAATATACTCTTAATTTTTAAATGTTATTTTGAAAAATTATCACTTAAAAGAATTATTTATGTTAACTAATAGATTTTAATGGAATCATAAGGGAAATATTTGGGTGAAAAGTCGGGAACAACCCTATAAGTACAGAATTCATTATGGTAGATATATTTTGAGTAAATGATTTTAATTTTCGTAGGAAAACTGTTTTAAGCCAAGAAACAACCTTAAAGCAATAATCGGGGTTGGTAAGCGGAAACGAACCGGGGGAATAGCCCTCTAATACTCTATCGCAATATAATATTTTTATAAAAATGTCTCAGTTACCCCGTATTATCTCAGCATAAATATAGCTTACACTATTTAATACATTATCTAATTACCAAATTAAAATTACTTCTCTGAATTTTCAAAATAACATTTATTTTTTATTTATAAAATTATTACATCAATACTAGATATTTTAAATAGTTTTATGAATATATTTTAACTAGAAGCACATAATTTATTCACAATTGTATTGTGTTTTAAAATTTTTCGTTCAAAATAAAAATAATTAGAAGGGATATCTGCGTAAGGTAAGGTTAAAAAGGAAACACTTTCTTCATTAGCATTTGTTAACATTTTTCCTCGGTCACATCTGATTAAATGACAATAGATTTAAAAATACAACTTTGAAAGCAATTTATTTGCTTATACCTCAGAATGTATTCCTTGAAAAAACACTTTTAATTAGTTATCAGACAAAGATTAAGTACGACTTTTGTTCGACAGAATCCTATGTTTCTTTCCCTTTTTTATTTTAAATTTAAGATGCAAGCTTGGCTTAACACACGATAACCTAAGCAATCGAGAAGCTGTGATAAGTAATGTAAATTTTTTTGACGTAATTAAGATAATTTGTGTGTTAATCATTAGAGTTTTTTTTTTAATTTTAACTGAAATAACTGAAATTTCTAAGACTGAAAGAAAACGCGAGTAAATAGATTCTGTTGTTTCTTTTATGTCGTAGCTTGTTTATATGAATTAACAAGATTTATAATAGCTCGGTTTTATTTCGATGATGCAGAGATTTTTTTCTTATCCATACATACGTTTTTTTTTATTTGTTACGATTCAATTGAAGTTCAGTATCAATTAAAATACCTTTTATAATTATTTAAACTTCTTGGAATTTTGAATTGTATGTATGATTTAAGTTTGTAATAATTAGAAACGAAATATTTTCGCTCAGTTTAATTAAAGTTTCGACATTAATATTGTTGTTGCATTACAAATAATAATTATTTTTTTGAATAAATATTCTTCTATAAATTCAAAGCGATAAAAATGCATTTATTTCCTTTTATTAATATAATGACGTATGAAACACAACTGGGTGTCGGCAGTCGACGTCACGAGTGGGTATCAAAACTGATTGGCTGCTAAATCGAGGCATTCGCCTATACCTCATTTCAGTAGCCAATCAGATACGACGATGACGCTTAAATTAGCTTCCAGACAAGCAATTAAGCCTCATCTGAAAATTGATTCAGAATGATAATAAATTGAGCCTAATAACTGTAACTTTAACGCGCCGCATTGCTTATACACTGCCAACTGATTTCAGCGGTCTTCATATTCTTAAGTTGCAGGGACTTAATTATGTTATTCCGACATTTCTTCATAAACTTTATGTAATAGGAGTTCCGTTATAACCGTTTAAAATTTTTAGAATCTATGCTAAAAATGGAGCAAAGACGCATATCTAATATGAGTTACAACATAAGAAAAACAAAAATACTTTTTAAATTTCTTAAGACACTGTTTAAGGAAGGTGAAATTACACACATTAAAGATGGTATAAGTGTCCGATTAAATTAAGTGGTTTTTCTAGCAATTAAATTGTCTTTGATATTTTCAGTCCCCTTTCTTTCGCCTCATTAATTCACTAGACTTTATTAGCGATTTTGAAGTTTTCTAAATCAAATGCTAGTTTGAGCCACATAATAAGCATATTTTTATGACTGTAATTAACTGAGTAATTACTATTTTAATTTGATCATCCCAAAATTTATCATTTAAAGTAATATGCTAAGTAAAATTGTTTGGTAAGCATATTTTTGTTCGATTTCATTGTTATTGTCGTATAACCTATTTCTAAGATTATTGTTTATAAAAGAACGGACTAAAATTTATTCATTTCAGTTATTTCCTTTAAAATATATAGTTAAACATATAATAACGTGTGATGTTATTGCTTTAATAAATTTGATCTTCGTAAAAAAAATTCTTAATTCATCTTTTTCTACAGCATGATGAGCTGTAATTGTCAATATTTACAAGCGCACTTTATTTGGTCATACATTAAGGTAAATAAATAAAAAATTTTAATTTTTACATTATGAAATAACGTAGTTATATTCAAAATTAAAGAAATCAATCAAATATTTATTCGAAAAGAAAAAAACAATTGCACTAAAGAGGAAAATAATATTCACACACATACGTTATTAGTATTATACTCATAAAGTATATTTTGCAAGAATTTGCGATACCCAAAATAAGTTCATTTTATAATTTTGAATGCTTGTTATTTTTGTTTCTCCTGACTTTCATCATAGAGATCAAAAAAAGAGCATTACTATGAGAATAATGTAAAACAACTCACCCTGTTTTGGCGAAGTTTGCCCAGTATGTCATAACAGCTTTTGTTAAGGAGTATTCCGAACGCGTGTAATTTGAGCTGAAATGCGCCAAGCTAGACACAAGAGGTGCTCCAAACACATAATTCAACTCTTCACCACTAACACAACCCATTCTTGGAGAATAATCACTTTCTTCAGTTTGGTGATCAAACACATAAAAAAATGTTTTGGCAGCGTGAGACATAGAATGATAATTCCCAGATTTTAACATGGGTGCTACAGTAAGGACATCACTTAAAGCCTCCACAGTAGTTTCAAAAATATTCAGTGGATGTTGCTCAGGATGTAACCAATCTGTATATTCATTTAAAATTGTCAAGTAAATTTCTTGCAAATGGAATGTGAAAACGTTTCTAACTAATGTTCTAAATATCCTGTCTCTCCGTAGAGAATCAATACCGAATTTTTCTTCATGGGCCGAAAATCGAAAAATCGATTCGATTTTAGTTACACCAAACATCATATCGTATTGACCAAATAAGTCTTTGTAGTTTTTCATGAGAAGAGCTGGCTCATTGGGAATTACTATTCCATCAATTGTTGGTCCGAATGCTGTGAGAAAGTCTGGAAGATCTAGTTGCACCCTCATAATGTCTGATATGGAACGCTGACGGATACACTCAACAAGGGCAGTATTGTCTCGAGTAGGACAGTCAAGAACTGAAGCAAGATACCGAGTATGCGTTGCTGAATCACGAGCAAGGGCCCATGGACTAAAAGCTGAACCACTTTGCAATATGGCACGCTGAAACAGACCTAAAAAATAAAACAGAGGCATATACGAATAAAAAATAAAATAAGTCTAGAATTATAACATTTATTAAATTATTTATCAGATTATAAACAAAAATAAATAAATAAAACATCTACACAACAGGCAGTAGTCATTCAAGGAAGTTATGGAAGTAAAAGCTCATCATTATCATTTATATAAATACAGAGACAACATTATCATCAACAAAGACCTAACGCATGATGGGGGTTATGTGGTGAGCATTACACACTAGCTGCCTTTAATTAACAGACAAGCTGGAACTTATCGATCTGAAGCTTTATGGTATTTAAGCCGCTACCGGAGATAATAGAACCCTGATTATTCAAAATGACTGACCAGTGTCCTCATAACCACTTTGTCCTCATTGCCCTCTTATCTGATTAAAAATACTTTTTTTTTAAGGAAACATTTAAAAAAACATTTTCTGCAATGTTCTCTTGAATTTTGTTTTTCGACTCTTTTGGAAAAATTGTTTAGTTGGAGAACGATCTTAATAAGGGGTTAAATTTGTCATGTTTCCGTTTAAGTTGAAGCAAAGTGATTCAACCATTATCTCGAGCTAAATTGCTGTGATATTAACAATTGTGATTAACAATTTGTTTTATAAGTATAAGATTTCTTGCACTAATCTTTTTAAATTTTTGAAATAGGCATTTTAAGATTAAATATAACTTAATATAAAAGCTCATAAGTTTTGACTGACCTCTTGCCATGGGGGAGATCATAAGAAAATTTATGCAAGCTGCTCCATGTCCATGACCAAATAAAGTCACATTATTTGGATCACCCCCAAATTCAGCAATGTTCTCTTGAATCCAATGAAGTGCAGCTACTTGATCCATTATGCCATAATTTCCCCTGGCCGCTCCATCAAAAGCAGGTAAAAAACCTAGAAAAGGAAAAATTAAATCAATAAACTTAAGAAAATGAATTTCATTTTTATTACTCATTAATTTACAATTTTAAAATAATTAGTTATAATAAGATATAGACCGCAAAAATTGTGTACATCGTAAAATATCGTATCATTATTCGTGTTACATTGTTAATAATACAAGTAATTCGAGTAAAGCTTTTACGATTTTCTGATAAAATATCTAGGTATGTGTTTATAAATTTTGATAAATGCATGATGACAGCTGTGTCTACTTATTTCAACATTTTTTTTCTTAAAAGGTCAATAGTGGGATGTATCGAGTGTTAAATTATTCTAAAGTCTTATTATTTTTTTAAATTGAAAAAAATTATTCTAAACCTGAAACCAGGTGAGATTTATAAAACAAAATTCACCGTAACATTGACAGAAAAAAATACAACCATACTTTTCCAATAAAATTTAAATAAGTTTGAACATTGATTAAACTTATTAATTATGATGAATTAATTAGAAATTTTCTCCAAGAATAAGTTTCCTTATTATCACCGTATTACTTACAGCCATAATTTAATCTGGACTTTGAATCTTTTGTGAAGTTGTAATTATCCGTTATTAAAAGTTGACCTATTGCAGAGGTCCATGATGGTAGTGGGTAAGGTTGAAAGATGAATTATCAAAAAGGAAGAAAAATGATAAGCCACAGTGGGAATCCTGATTCCCGAATAGGCAGTGTTTGATGAAAGGCTTCTTCTTTAATAGGTGGATACATTAATCAATAAGAACAGAAAGTATTTCTGATGCAAAGTGTTTGAACAGAAATATTATTTCGCTTAAATTTTTTAAAAAAAATATCTATACATTCTAAGAGTGAAACCAGGGGGATTTATAGAAACAAATCATTATAATATTGACAGAAAAAACTACATTAAGGTATCTGCCTGCCTTAAAATGAACGATTTCATCAAATGATTAGAATTTCTGTTTTTTGCATTTTTGAAAAGAATGAACTCTTAGGATTCTAAAAATGCTTTGTTTTTAAAATTTCGATAATTAGAAGCAAAGTTATAGCTGATTTTGAAACCGGAAGTGAGATTCCGAAACACCGGAAGTGCACTGAAAACGTCAAAATTAATTGTAAACAATGTAGTTTTGAGCCAATAGGAATTTTTTTTTGCTTGTAACGCTATTAAAAATATTAATATTTGTTAATTTTTNTAATTTTTAAAATTTTCATAAACCTTTAGTTCAGAACACAGATAAGGGTCAAAATAATCTGTACAGAAAAAGAAATTGTATTTTATTCATTTAAATTAAGTGTATGGTGTCTGGCGTAAGCTCTAAATTTCGCTCATTTTAGGCTTAATTTTTCAAATATTTTAAAAACTATGCGATATTCAAAAACATTTCTCCTTGTTTATATCATTTTATGTCACAAATGAACCAATAACACATATGTTTTTTAAAAAAAATTAATTTTAAAAAAAATTTCATCGTACCCAGGCAGTCGCCTTAATAGTTTTCAAACAAAATTCATATAAAAGCTTAAAGATTAAATAAACTTCAAATTAATTAGAAAGTTTCACCATAAATCAGTTTCATTATTATCACCGTATAAAATTTAGCCATAATTTAATATGGACTTCGAAACTTTAGTGGAGTTGCAATAATCCTTTATTGAAAGTTGAACAATAGCAGAGGGCCATGATGATCTAGTGGGGTGAGGTTAATAATATGAATTATCAAATTGGAAGAAAAGTAATTAGCCACTGTGTGAATCCTGGTCCCCGCATAGACAGTGTTTGACGAAAAGCTATCTCTTTAATTGGCGGATAAATTAATCGATTAGAAAATTTAATTGGCGGAATGACTTGTCTGACAAAAACGCCATGCAATTAATTATTTTCCACTTGAGATAATAATTAGAAAAATCGATGAAAGAAAATTCACTCACTTCGAAAATGGCTTCAATTGTAGATAAGGGATTCATTGTTTCATTTGCGCAATTTAGAAATCTCAAAGGAATGGATGAATCGTTTGGAATAATTATCCCTTGTTTATCTTAGAAAGTAATTACACTGGTAGAACGCTTAAATCTTTGAGTTTGCGGCTGAGATTTATTTGTACCATTAATATGAAAAGTTAATTGACATTTCTGCCATTGTCATAAACTGTCTGTTCTTTAAAAAAAACTTTTTAAAAAAAACTAAACAAATTTATGAGAAATCATCTACATATGTACTTATGATAATATTTATTAAGTACTTTTTACTCAATTGGAACTGTATTTAAAATATTCACAATCTGAATAATTTTAATGTATAATTAAATGGATTCGTAATCTTCATAAGCCATTACAAATTCTTCATGAAAAGGGAAAGAAATGGATAATCTAAAGTAAAGAAGATATGCATTGTTTTTGAAAATCATTGCATACATTCCTTTCGAAAACCAAGGTAATGAAGGAATGCATTCATTTCGTTTTAAGAAAAAAATTATTAAAAAAATCATTCTATCAATTAAGCAAGGAATATGAATTTTAATCGGGAAAGCAATGGTTCCTTATAACCCAATCCTACAAATACAAAAACAAAATATAATATGGCTGATAATGTTCTTTTAAAAATTTAAACGTTCCGCATTTAAAAATTTAAAGGCTTAAATTTGTGTGTTTAAGAGCTTCATATCAACCTACGTTACTAAAAAAGTTAGAGAAAAAACGTACAGTATGCACGAAGAAAGAACGAGCCACGCTATATATCTTTTGGTATCCCATTTTTAACTTCCCTTGAATAACAACCTACAAAATTGCATTTATAAATTACATGCACTGATTGACAATTGCTAAGGAACAACTAATTTATGCAAAGTTCCATTCCCGACTGCTTACCAATAAATGTAAAATCAAGTGCAGAGAGCACGGTAGAGCAGGAAGCAATATCTACATAAATGGTAGTGCATATAAGCTCTTTATTCATTCGAAAACTCATGCTGTTAGGTGTTCATAGATATAAAGGCAGTGCCCTATATTAGTCAATGTAGATGTTTAAAAAAATATAGCACCGTAGGTTTTTGAACTTATTTTTATGAACTTCAAAGTGGTGTTACAATAGATAAGTTTAAATTATCAGTAAGACATCACATTTGAGTGCTTACGATCATGGACGAGCAGTTGTACGACTGGAAGCAGATTTAAGTGTCACTACGGAGGCCACAGTAATGAGGGAGTCAACGAGTGTCACCTCGCTCTTGAAAAAGACCACTGATGCTGGAAATGCATTGTAGAAATCATGTTGGTGGTCGTAATAAGAATTTCACACCTCAAGAGGATTGATATGTATCCCTAGTTGCAAAAAGGAACAGAAATGTCATTCCTAATGTGGTAGCTTCAGGCCTTGCAATCACTACCGGTGCACAGGCTTCTGCCAGAACAAACTCAAGGAGATTAAACCAAGTTGGTTTGTGTAGAAATAAGCCTGTTCGATACGTCTCGCTTCAACTACGTCATCGTCGGGAAAGATTACGCTGGTGTAAGGAATGTATTAGTTGGAATCACCCACAGTGGTTCAAAGTGATGTTCTACGACAAATTCCATTTCTCTGTAACAAGTTATTCTGGTTACCAGTTAATTTGGAGAGTTCATGATGACACTGATCACGTTCATGATGTTCATGAAAGTGATCAGTGTGGCCTAGGCGTGTTTGTGTGGACAGGCATTATGCACAATTGGAAAATATCGCTTCACATCTTTGAGAGAGGTACCACTACTTCTTAGTGGTACAACAGCGAGATTATTCATGATCATGTTCGTCTATTTAGGGGTGTGGTAGGTTCATAATTCATGCTTATAAACTAGAATGCCACACAAGAGTGCTGAGGTATTGGGCACACTATAAAGTGAAGGTATTATCCACATGTAATGGCTTGAGTACTTCCTAATCCTTAATCCTAATCTTGCATACGATTCCCTTGGCCGCTGTGTTTCACAATTAGCACGTCCTCCTGGAACTGATAACCACCTTGAGAGAAGAGTGGGACAATGCCGCAACAGGACACCCTGATCGTTTAATGGACAGAATAAATAACAGCTATAAAAAATGCATTAGTGCCGGAGGAAATCATCTTACTGAGATACTCCTACCTTTTTCATTCTGGCAAAAAGATCAATTTTTCGTGACTGTTTGGAAATTATCTAAGAAGCATATTTCTTATATATAGTTTTCATATTTTTTAATGTGACAATATTTGTATTTTTTTGCATTATAATAAATGCACTATGTCTCCACTAAATTTGTAATTTGTTTCATTTCGCCAACAAATGCATATTATTAATTATTCCGAAAATTGTTACTGTTCTTTAGCAATTGTCAAGCAGTATGCGTTTGTTAATTATTGCAATTAGTTTAAATACAGCAATATCTTTTGTTGTAATTTAACTTTTGCTTACATTATTGACAAAAAATTAGTTACGGCGCGTTTAATGCGTGCTGAAAATTTGTACTTCGATAAGACTGAAATTAACTTTTAGTCCCTTCCATGTGTTTTGCCGCACAGAACGATTGAAATTAATAACAATGCTTTAAAACAAAATCATAGTAAATATTTATTATTGCTAGAAGCATTCAGTTCGAAATATGAATCCGTTTCCTTGAAATAATCTTATTCAGATTCATACAGGATGCTCATAATATGGATATGCGTATGTTTGAAGAAATTTGCTTGGAATCAAAAATATAAAAATACACAAAGGAAATAATTTCAAATAATACATTTAATGATACCAAACTTGATTACTCTTAAATCTTCTTGTAATAAGAAGATTAAAATTTAAAATCTAAAATAGAAAACTCTATATATTGCAAATGTGTTTTCTCCGCATTATGGAACCCATTTAATTTCGCGTTCTTTGCATTTTCATTCACCTATGTCGCTACAATCACACAATTAAATTGACTTAAAGTTTATTTACATTATATGTATAAAAAATTGACATACTTTAGATTTTCAAATAATTA